CACCAAGAAATATTATTTTTATATATAAAGACTCAGGTTTCGTAGAAACGGTTATACGAGAGAGGGCACAAAACATTGTCCCAGCTGAACAAAATTTCTCATGCCAAAAGAACATTACTTAGCGAATGTTGCGAAGAAATTTTGAAAATCGTAATTTTATTCAACTTTTTTAACGACTTTTCAAAATACGACGTTATATGGAGTGGTCGAATAAATGGACCGATCCAAACCAATTTCAATAGCATTCGTTCTTGATTTAAAGTGCATCAGAGTACCAAATTTCATCAAAATATCTCAAAAATTGCAACACATTATCACGGACAGACAGACATTTAGGTTTAGGTCGATTTAGATAGTGATTCTGATTCGTTATGTATAATAAAAGGTGGATCTATCTGAAGCCCTCCTGTGTATTACACACGTCCGCACAAACTCACACCACAACCGGTATAAGATATAAAGACTCAAAATGATACGCATTGTGTTCCAATGTGAATATAAAGTTGCAAATGAAGGATCTTGGAAAAAATGTCAAAAATTTCCAATCTTTAGTTACAAAATTGCGAGTTCTGTATATTGTATAACAAATCAGTACATTCCGCTTGTGTTGGCAGTGCACTCAGATATACGCAGTAATCTGCAAACAATTCTGTCGCTTAATTTCTGTATCACGAACAAATGGGATGGATTCGCTATTTTGTGTTTCGTGCCAGAAGGATCATTTGAAATGATGAAGTTGCTGAAAAGAGAGTCGATGGAGCATTGAATCATTGAAAGAGTTTTTGCTAAGGATTGCACATATCTTTGGTTTCGTATATATCTAGCTTAACATATAGATATATGCTAAAAAAGTTGTTGGCTGCCCATCTCATCAACTTGGATTATGCGCGATTTCAGTTCGATGCAAATTTATAAATTATCCGTTTGGCAGACAGCCATTGAGAAATCCTTCTTTGGGAAGGAAATTTATGAGAACATGATCAACAAATTAACGGACAATTTCTCTCGCTATGTTGCAATAAAAAGTTCTATAGCTGGCTTTAAATCTGTTGATTTAAGTAGATTAGAATCTTGTTAGAAAGTATCTCAATCAATATTTGGTGTGTAAGAAATCCCTTGATGAGACAGGTGCTCCTTTTTTTGGCTGCAGAACTAAAAAGCCTTTAAATGCAACAGCACCTATGAACAGTATCTTGGAGTAAATTAGATGTTGTTGTTGATGTTCATTGGTAACTATCGATGCTAAGTTTCGAAACTTCAATAGTAAATCACAGTCTTGGACATAGATTTGGCCTAATTCCTCGACTTCTAAGCAAGCAAAGTAAACAAAATATTCGAAAAAGTTAGGACATCGTTTTCTTTGGAGTGTAAAAGAAAATTCATTGTTTGCACATCGGTAGGACAACAGTGAAAAAATGTTGTCATAAATTTAATAATGATTTAATGCTTGATGGGAAAATGCATGAGAGAAAATCATCAATGGTTGTGGCTCCCTTTGCCCGCTTTCCATTCGCTTGCAAACCTCAAAATCTTTAAGATACTTACTTACTTCACATTAACTTTGTCCTTGTAACTTCCTATCCAAGGCTGTTTGCGCTCTGCCCTGATTCTGCGATTGGTATAATTTCAACGATCGCTAATTTGTATTTTATCTCAAATGCAAGCTAGACTGTCGGTCGCTACCTATTGACATTTATGACAAGTATTATTAAGTTAGTTCGTCATTACACTGATTGTTCGTCTGAACATGTGAACTCATATGCGTTATGCATGGCGGCAATAGTGAAAAAAATTGCTTAGTAAAAAATTACTTGTGAAAAGGTCGACTGTCGCAACAAGTAGTTGCACGTGTCATTGTGAAACCAGCCAGTTCGGCATTAATGGATGAGAAGGTTTCAAATGCTAGCCAGCAGACACCCCACACATGATTACACTAACGAATGTACACACGAAGAAATCCTTACGAAGGTAGACGAACGGACGAAAGTTCTTTATCGAACGGCTTGATGGCCTGGATAACGTGGATTACTTTAGACACTGCCTTCCATGCGGCCTGCTTCGACCTATGTCCCTACCTTTTGGCAAATCTAGATCTAAGGATCTGGATTTGTTTCTATATTATGTCCGATATGCAAAAGAATGATGTTCAGACGTTCAGACGAACGGTCAATAATAGCACATCTTATGCATTAACTGAAATTGGTTTTTCACATTTCTCTGTATTGAGAGATTGATTTACACAAGATTTTCATATATATTTTCAGGCATTAACATGCATTTTTATTATAATTTTTTGTTGTTGGTTTTTCTTTTTTGCATTTTAATTCTCATTTGGTTTATAATTATAATAAAAACCTATAAATCTAAGGAAATAATTTAGTTTTTTTTTTTATTTTTTTTGCTTTGTTTTTTTGTTTAAGTACAAATTTTTATTATATTTAGCTTTAATAATTTATTATTATTTATATTTATTTGTTTTGCCTTCCATGGGTTGCTTTCATTAATGAATTAATGCTTAGTTTTTGTTTTTACTCAATTCTATAAATTCAAATTACGAACTAAAATTCTAATTATTTAGCATATATATAATTCTTAAACAAAATATAAGACAAAGACAAAGAAATTCTTCAACTAACTATATATAGAATAAGTATTCAATAATATTGATAATAATTTCTCAATTTTTAAATTATTCTCTAATCGTTCAATTTATTTATTTTTTTTTTTTTTAAATATCTGTGTTTATATAATAACTTTCTAAACTATACATAATAATTTTTTTCTTTTTTTTTTTTAAATCTATTTAAATATACATAATTACGCATTCCTTCCCACATTTTTACTTGTTTTCACATCATCATAGTCTTCAAGGGGTGTTTCGTGGTCTTTTTTTTTTTTTGTTATACTTTTAATTAATTTTTTCTATGTAACCCCAACCTAGAAAATATCTTCTTTTTGTTTTTTTATAATTTTTGTAGCTTAATTTTTGCGTTTATTTTCTTCTTGTTTTTTTACCATTAAATCTTTACTCAGTTTTCTTTTCAATAATATTAATAACAGCTTACTAAGTGTAAATAATTCTAATTCCAAGTTTCTATGTACAAAACGAAAAAAAAGATACATAATTATCCAACAAAAGAAAGCATTCTCTTGGTTTTTATCATCATCAGGTTCAGGACAAATGATAGAGACAAAGTAATACATTGAGAATGAGAGACATAGAGAGCGATATAGAAAGAGAAAGGGAGAGAGAAAGAGAGAGAGAGAGAGAGAAAGAGAGAGAAAGAGAGAGAAAGAGAGAGAAAGAGAGAGAGAAAGAGAGAGAAAGAGAGAGAAAGAGAGAGAGAGAGAGAGAGAGAGAGAGAGAGAGAGAGAGAGATAGCGAGCGAAGGGGAGAGTTACAGAGAGCAAGGATATGCTGCGCGAATATTTGTAATGTGAGATTATGACAAAAAGTATGCCTTCATATATATATAGGACTTTTATACCAACCACCACGAAAGAGTCCTGTTTGTATGTCAATATATTAAGTGTACAAAGAAATAAAAACAGTATAGTAGGCCATTGTCCACCATTAAATACCCCAAGCCTACAATTATTCATGCGAAGACTTTTCAAAATAAAACATTGGATGGGAGGCAGTCGAAAAAGTGACCCAACACAAACCATTTTTAACGGCGTTTGTTCTTTAGCCAAAACATGTTAGTGTATCAAATTGTGCACAGAAAACAAAACGGACGGACGGATGGACAAGTTTAGAGGTAGGTTAGGTATAGAAAAATGCGGATGTATTACAAGCTTCTTTGGATGTTGCATACATCCGCAGGGGTATAAAATATGGTCATGGATTAACTATTCAAAATATTGTCCATCGCTAGGCATTAGTTCTTCTATCTTTCAAAAATAGGGTGAATTCCGCGAGAAAAGGAAAATTGATCCCTTAAGGCTAACCACACAACTCATATTTGAATATTGTTTTAAGAACTGAAGTACAGTTTAAACAAACAATAGGTCCTCGCCTAAAAACCGTGTTAATCGGAATGTCTCCTAACAATCGCGGAGAGAGTAAGACCTTTCAGGTTACAACTGTGAATTTTTTATACGAATTTTTTTCGTATTAAAAATGCACGATACGTTGAGTTGGCGTTCATTATGGCGATTTTTTGGCGCAATTACATCAACTGCCGTTGGTGCTGTTCTCTAGAGAAGGTTTCGCTTGGTTGGAACAAGAACCATAATAAACCACGCCCAGCTGACCTCCCAAATGCGGATGGATGTGGGTCTTTATACAACTCTGCGTCCCAGTTATTTGGGCTTAGGATATCGTAACCCATCTACTGTCGATTCTTCGTATGGATTCAACAACGTTCTCCTTCGGATTAAGCGGGAAAAGCAAAGTTTCTCATAAATGGCCTTTTTTTTGGCACAAAAATTATGCAAAGTTCCAAAAAACTACGCGCTACGCGTACGCTCTAGAGCGACAATTAGGCCGATCGTGTTTAGCCTATATTCATATGAAGAAACCACACTTTTATTCTTGGCACCCTACAGCGTTATTCAACGTACTGACAGACAGTTACCCTACCGTTTACAAAACGAAAGAATTAAATTCATAAGGCGATCCACATTTCTTGATCTGAATTTTAAGTCAATTTAGCTTCGTGCCCTACTGTCAAGTCCACTTTGCGGGCAAGCACTCAATACACTCTTTAGTTGATTACGGTTGCAATCTTTACTTGATTTTTGGCTAAAGCCTGATACATGTCAGTTGAAGCTTTGTTGCGAATATGATCCCAACCTCAGAAAATATTTGAAATTCCGAAATTTAATAATGTATTTTAATTTGAGGCGGTAAGTAACAAAGACACGCCGCAAGGCGAATATGAATGCTTGTTTTACTTTTTTTTTTACTTGAGATTCTCTTAAAGTTAAAGATTTGGGCTTAAAAAAAATCACCGGGGTTTCAGTTTTCTTCTATTACTTTTTTTTATATATATATATTTTTTTTTGTAATTTTGGAACTTTTCTTTACGTACGTATTGGCTAAGCGTTTGTTATCAATACATCGATCGTCTTGAATTTATAAATATATGTAAGTAAATGTGTAAATATATATGAGAAAGTGGAATCATGAAACTCCAAATTTTGACTAGAACAAGAAGTCCACAATGTGATAGAGGATGAATGAAAAATAAATTTGATTTATACATTTGGGATGATAAGGATTTGCTGTCGAAGTGAAACACTTTAACTAAGCTAAGGTCAAATTTTGAATACAGTCTGGAACAAAATAAAAAATAAAGTTAAAAAAAAAGTATGTACTGGTCCGGAAACCGGCTGTTTGCACGCACGTTGGACACTTTATCCAAGATGATACTAACCCGTATACTGACTTTTATCAACTCAATCAGCTAAGAGCCAATTTAAATTAACTTACTTCCGATAGGAAAGAAGATCGTATACTGAGTTTTGGTATCAATCACTTAAGAGCAAACTAAAAAAGTTGCTTGCGAGAGGAAAAACTTCCAATGAACTGTTTAAGAGCAAACTTTCGAAGTAGTTGCATGGCTACGGCTAAGCAGAGTACATTTCGAAAGTATAGAAATCGGTTGCTGCATTAGCTTCGGAGTTTGTTACCAGTTTTTCTCTTTTCTTAAAATGCCTTTACTCTCACCTTCGTCAAGTATCTAAAGATTTGCAAAATTATGCCGATTAGTTTGATTTGCGAATATCCGGAAAAGGTGAATATATGTACGCATCAGTTCATGGAAGAGTAACATTGACATGAGATGTCATTCTTCTCCAAGATATCTAGCGTCGAAGGCAACCAATTGATCGCCACCACGTTAAATGTTAGATCTTTGAACTTCATCCCATCTTGCACTTAATACTTTGTAAGCCACTGCACTACATATCTATTTCTTTATATGGACATCAAGTTGTGGCCCAAATCATTTGATGTTGTGTCCTTGTAACACATCGGTTAATTAGTTCTTTGGAAGTTCATACGACGGTTTCATCACTATTTACAAATGCCTATAATCTTCAAATCCATATAAAGTTTGAAACGAATTGTGTCAAAATTGTTAACAAAATCAGTTATTTTTTAATGGCGAGACTACTGTTGTTTTCAAAACAATTCAAAAACTTGGATATCGTTTGTTCATCGCTTTTGATGAGAAAAATACACGTTCACGATCAGCGACTTAATCTTTACTTTCTTTTGTTATTTTCCTGCTTGCTGATGTTAGGCCACGAACAACCTTCGGCTTGTGCATGTGTCTACAAATCGAATCTATTTTCGCTTCGCGGCATATAGTAATGTGACGAATCTCAAACGCAATAGTTTCGAACACTTATATGGAGCACAATATTTCTAAACGATCTTTTACGCGCTCCTCAGCAATCGATTGCAGTTCTTTATACGACAGGGAATGTACTGACGCCATGACAAGTTTTTCCCGAAATGCTTTAAATCCATAGTAAAATCTTATTTTGCTTTATGTACTATGATCCTATGACGAGCTGTATCCACACGCGTAAGCTTTGTAGACTAATGCAATTTCGTTAGCTAATTTTAGTCTTCTCGATATAACGCCTGTTTTATTCATGGTCCCATAGTACTGCTTACAGTGCTTGCATTGGCTCAAGCTTTCAAGTCAATTCAACTTGTTATACTATTGCCTGTCGCGGTAGACACGAGCGTTTTGCGAATAACAACAATAGACTGCGAAAGTCTACTCGTAAAAAGTCGTCTTTAAAACACTTTATCTTACGGGCCCACCATCTTGAGATAATTCGTTTGTTTCGGCAAAGTGTTTATGAGTTTTAAGGATCACATATAAATAGTCGTCGTTGGTCATTTGAAATTTTGAAGAAACAGAATTTCGAAATTAACTGGCCTGACATGTTGGTATATCTGAATCAAATCTATAAAATTCATTTAGTCCATGATAGGAGGGCTTTCAGGCTTATGTTCCCATATTTGCATTTGCATCTTGGAGAAACACTTACTGAAATTTTGACCTCAGCTATGCTTAGATTCATCTGAATAGGATTATTATAAACACATACATACATACATACATACACATACACATACACACATACAAGAGCGAGAGCGAGAGCGAGAGATATATATATTCGTAAGAGGTGGAAAATATAATGATTTGAGGAAATTGGAGTAAAAAATAAATTAAGACTCTTTTTGTGTTAAATTTAATTGCGATTGTTGTTGATTTTGTGATGATATACGTATGTAATTGTCCCTGCCGTGGTTTAAATAGTTTAGCTATGCAAGTATATTTTATGCTGTAGGTCCAGTTTTCTACTCATATTGAAAATTATAGCTCTAAGTCGATATTATTATTATTGTTTGCCATGCTTTTGATAGTCTGCAACTGCTACTAATCCAGGTTGTGAGGTGGTGAATTACTGCCGCCACCCATCATAAAAGAGGTGGGGCTGTGTGCTGATATGCTATCCAAATCTAAAGTGCCATCACCTTTCTCTAACATACCGGAGCCATCCTGTTTCATCATCATACGTCGCCATTTGGCTCGGGCATTTTGAAACCAAACCTGCAGGAAATTGCCTTTTAATTTTACAAATCTACACTTATGTTCAATTACTATCAATTCACCTGTAACACTCTCTTTGGTAGTCCCGTCTTTTGTGATAGTTGCTTAAGATCTTTAGCGTCGGGATTATGATTAATGGCAAAATATGATTTCATAGTGCGTAGCTGATGATGTTTAAACGATGTACGCATACGTTTCGTTCGGGAGGAAGCACTCATATGTGATCCACGCCCGAAATCCAGATATTCAGTATTCAAATCTAAAATTTGCGGGCATTGTTGTAAGTTAAATTTCCATAATTTGTATGGAATGTGTGAAAAGTACTTGCATTGCCTACCTATGTTGGCAGTTAGGGCTTCGATTTCTTTGGGCTTTCGTTTACGCGGTCTGCCCTTCTGCCGTGGCGGTTGCGGTAGGCCCGAAATGACGTGTGAGGCAGTCGCAAATATGCCGCTAGGAACCATACGTGTCGGATCCGAATGTGGACTGGATGAATCATTCGGAGGCGAACCAAATTGACTGGAATACGGATACGAACTAGCACCACCAACACCGGGCACTACCGCTGATCCTAAACTAGTTGATGCTGCATCACCTTCTCTCGCCATTGTATAATGTGTTCTATAATTAATTAAAGCAAAAAGAAAACAAACAAAAAAAAAAAATGATTGTGAATTTTATTCTTCTTCTTTTTTTTTTTTTTTGATTTTAAATATGGCGATTATAAGCGATCGTACCTGCAATAGATGAGAGCATCTATTATGCCGTATTGGTCGCCTTTTGTTAGTGGGGTCTGACATACAACACAACAAAAACAGGTCACATGAAATACTAAATTTCGCGCTCTCATTACCAGCTCTGTTGAACCAATTGATGCCAGGCAGCGAGAACAACGTCTTGTGCCAAAAAAGCTAAAATGATAATAATAAAAAAAAAAAACAATATTTGGATTTTATTTTGTTTTTAAAATTAAAAAAAGCCTTTAATCTAAATATTTCCAATTTATTTATTTATTTTTTTTTTTGGATATGGGCGCAACATGAAGTTTTATATTGTTTAGAATGGAATTTGGTTTTCTTAAGCTATCCACAGAGCGCAGGTCTAATCGACCAGACGATCATAAACTCATAATATCATAAATAGGCTAACGCATGAACTAATAGATAAGGCGATCAATTTGGCATATTCGGGTTCATTTTTCCGCGCGATAGATTATATTTTAACTAAGGCTAGCACGCTAGGCTGATCGGGCGTGCAACGTTTAGGTAGCGAATACAACCTATACTTTTTCGTCGCGCTTCTCTCTGCTTGACGATCATCGTGTTCATAGACGCATAAGAGGCACCCGATGAACGACTGGCCAAAGAGAAAACGAAAGTCAATCAACTACAAATTAAATTAAATTGGTCTATGGACTGAATGCTTGACGTACCAGTACCTGAATATGTTATTATTTCAAATTGTTTTCATGAATAGATTGCATTCAGTTCGATTTACCGCATCAGTGCTTTTACCTACATCAGCCATCCAATTTATGTGGTGTATAATAATTTGCCTGGATCACTGCAGACGTCTTTTGTGGTGGTAAGTTTCACTACCTAAAACGCTTGGGTTTTAGCTGATAAGGACGTTCTAGTCTTTTTGTCTAAAGAGCCTTGGGGAAAGCATTTGAGAAGATGTGGTTCTAAATTCATTCAGAATCTCTTCGCGATGTAAAGAAGGCACTATTTTCGAGAAGGTCTCTGCTCGGTTCGGCTCGGTTCGTATATAGGTTGGAGTGAGATGCATTTACGATGCAGTTTCCTTTGGTTTCTTTTTTATTTACTTGCTGCCTGAAAGGGAACGAACCAACTAGCTAGCGTCCTAGTTGGGGTGAGATGCACTAACGATGCAATTTCCTCTGGTTTCTTTTTTATTTACTTGCTGCCTGAAAGGGAACGAACCAATTAGTTAGCGTCCTAGGTTTCACTATCTACGCCTTCATGCACATTGACCTTGATCTTTTCTAATATCCTGAAGAAAATAAAAAAAAAAAATGAAAGAAAGAAAGTGTATTTGAGGAGGTTTCTGGCGTCTGGAATAACTGGAATCGAACGAAATTTTGCTCCAAGTTTCGGCCTCACAGGCATTCCTAGCGCAGTGTCCTACCGTAACGTTTACCTAATCTACCTAACTCTTCTCTTTAACGCGGCGTATAGATACGTTCAAGTTTGCCGATCAAATAATATTGGTTTTATTTTATAAGAAGGCTAGTTGATCCATAAAGATCCCCATCAAAGTAAGATCTATGTTTAGTTTTACTTTCAAGTGCTTTTCCTGCAACTTGTCCTGAATCTAAGCTTCGATTATGTGATCATTATTATACAAACTTTTCTTTAAATTTTGTTTTTATTTCTTTTTTCATTAACCTGAGAGAGTAAACGAGTCTTTGAAAGATTCATTCAAATTCGTATCGTAGCCTTTACCTCCATAGATCTCTATAAAATTCAATTTCAATATTATTTTTTCATTTCATTTCGTGCATTCCTTATCAATTATCTCGCATGATTATTGTAAAAATTAAACTATAATCGCTACAGTAGCAAACGGTTAACAGCCTACATATCGATTCGTTTCGATTTGAAAATGAAGAAAAAAGAAAGCAAGAAAAAAGTAAAAAAAAAACTCTGTATGTACGTACGTACACTCAGATAGTAAACCAAGCGAGGAAAAAAATCAGAGAAGCATCAATTCAGGGCGACAGTTAAAATTATCTTTTCATTCATTGATGACGACGGCTACCGTGCCACCGTAATATGAATATAGACAACGTATGTATTATAGTTATCTGTATAACTATGTGTGCGCATGTATCTATATTTATGTATATTGAATGCTTGAGTGTGTATGTTTGAGTGTGCTTATGCGTTTTCAAGCTTACGTCTTCGGTATGTGCATCGGAGATGATCAGAAATAATTATAGTAATGATGTTGTTGGGGAAATTATAACTTTGGCAAGAAAATTTTCATATATTGAGCAAAGAACTACAATCAAAAAGGTGGTGCTGTCCCTTAGCTACTGGGTGTCAATTATGAATTCCAGACGAGGCGAACTTAAATACACCTTTAAATATATGTTTGTATATGATGATGAAAAGTGAGATTGGGCTTGGATGCGAAATTTTTTAGTAGGAAATGATTAAGTAATAGATTTAATCAATATGTAGCTCTTTTATCGTTAGGCTTCGTTTGCTGCCGTGCCACACAGTTAGGTGGCTGTTAATTCGATTGATATGTGTTTTGTTGCCGAATAAGAAAAAGATCAATACATCAATCGTTTTATATAAAATCTGTTGTATAACATATACACACATATATATACATACATACATATGTATATATATATATATATATATATATATATATATATATACAAATGATTTATGTATACAAACGCACAATGTGTATATGTATGATTTTTATCTGGTCAGGCTTGTTTAGTATTATTTTTCATGATTTTTATGGTTTGCGGAAAACAACTAAATCATCTTTTTTTTTTTTTCTTTTCTGTGGTTATTGTTGTTGCTATTGTTGTTGCTATTGCTGTTGTTGTTGCTGCTACAAGCTAAAGTTATTCAAGTACAATTTATGTCACCTCCCAATTGTGTCTGTACGAATGTGCGTATTTATGCCATAACTTACGACGTGTTGGTGGTGGTTGTTATTTTTGTTATTGTTGTTGATATGTACGCATGTATGCTAAACAGATGTCGCTTACAAGGGAAAACAAGAACAGCAAGTGTTGAGGAGAAATATAGCTATAGCAGCTAGCAGCTAGCAGCAGCAGTAGCATACACAATAACAACCAGCCAGTCAGCCAGCCAGCCAGCCAGCCAGCCAGCCAGTCAGTCATCTAGTTAGCCAGTCGATATCATTATCTCACTGGCTGGTCCGAGATGCCATTGCATTGCATGCCTGCATGCATGCATGCATAAATGATGCAGTCATGAATTGTCGTCATACCTAACAACATCTATCATATGTAATGATGATGATAATTCGTTACAGTTTTCAGTTCAGTTTGCTACACATTTTTATTTTGCACTCTACAAAATTACAAACGGTTTATTAAAACAATGACCTGATCAAGCGTTTAATGAAAGCATCATAAACATTGAGAAAATCATTAATAAATACAAAGAAAAAAAAAAGAAGCAAATCACGCCCCTTAGAGTTTTGTACAATGGCTTTTCATTATTTGCAACAGCTACAGATAAAAGCTTCACAGAAAAAAGTTTCACAGAAAAAAGTTTCATTAGGTGTTCTTCAAGGCTTTAAAGAACAGAAACAGTTTAAGCTTTTTCGTTTCGGTCATGTCAAGCAGCGTATATGCTAACATAATAATTCCATTTAAATTAAAATTTAGCTTTTCAAGGTTGCTCCAAGGCACAATTGCTGATGCGGAGCTGGTTAACGCAACATGCACTGCTTTACAAAATAGAAAGGTTGACGAGATCAAAAATAAAACAAAATGGATGGAACAGCATCCAGATGGTGCCGCTGTAAGATTACTTGCTCGAAGTCAATAGGGCATTGAATGAGGTCCAGCTCATGCCATTCCTTATCTGTTTCCAAGGAATCATTACGGGCATATAGGTGGACTAATTTTACCTCCATACTAAACAACAGTTTTCTGCTCACAAATTTGAAATGTCGAGGGCAAAAGCCGTCCATGCTGTCAAAGCAGTCAAATCAGTTGCAGTTGCTATGCGATATGAAGGATTCATCGTACTCGACAGTCAAATCTAACTTCCTGTTTTTATGCTAGTCGAGTAGATAAGAATCACGATTACCAGGACACACAGGACAGCGTGTGCGTGTTCAAACCTCAGTGCGGTAGAGCTACGCATGACACTTACCGTTTGGCCACATACTCACTCAAATTGTGACGACCTCTCCAACTCCTCTTTCCGTTCTTCTTTCTGGTACCAACATCGTTTTACACATATAGGCGACAGCCTCTGGTCACATTAAACAAATAAAACAGAGTATCGATGTTGTTGCAGAGGCGAAATGGTTTCTAACTTTACTCTCCTGATTGCCAAGTAATGTGTTTGATCATTTCCCAGTATTTTTTTTTATCAACCTTTTCACGAGCGACTTCTAATTTCGAAAGGTTTTTTTGCAAACGTTATGTTGTTACATGCTCGTCTTACTCGACCGGACCGAGTGTGTGTCATTGTTCACTTGATCACTGCCAGTATGTAATTCACTTCTTCTTACCTACAGTTTATTATCCTTTTTGGCCCCTCAAAGTTGTTACGTTTCAAAGCGAATATTCTCGGGTGGAGATGTGTGGGTGAATCTTTCCAAGTCACGTTTGGCGGTAACCAAACACTAAGTATTTCCTCATAGCCAGCATTCTCCAAATAGCCTAGTTATGACAAATCTTCAAATCCTTGACGATGCCAGGCCAACTTACAAACTGATTTTACTCAGCTTGCCATAGCAAGCATGATTGTTTGCCCTAATAGATGGGCATCAACCAGAAGAAACTTGTCAAGCATCCAAAAATCCAATGGAAAAGGATTCAAGGCCCTTAAGCTGTTGGCTTTGCTAACAATTTTTCCATCTGAATCTGACTTGCCCTGCTTTACCCAAGTAGCTTTCCCGTTGCAACTTTATAAGCTTCAAGCGGACATTTGGATTAGTCTGGCGGGATTCTCGCAAATAAAAGTCATCGTATTTTTGAAGCTTTCGGTTAATAGATTTAAAAACATACAGTTTTTGTTATATATACGATATTGTGTAGTGCTTGTCCCTGTAAAATTGTAGTCCTTTCCTTTTCTTTTATTGCATTGTACTCGTATTTCAAGCCGCTTGCATATGCACATATGCAACTTTATTGAGGACGAGCATGTGTGATTATGCC